AAAAAAGAAAACATCAGACTATAAAACAAACGTGCATTAAACTATAAATAACTAATAAATAAATGTTTTAGCAATCTGTTCATTAAAAAGCTACCTCTGGTCCACTAGCAAAGTGCATGCTCCACTACACTGAGCATCACTGAACAGCACGAGTCTGAAGCACAGTAGAGACTGAAGAATACATAGGACATCAACAAAGAAGTGCAAGCTACACAGGTGGCACGCAGAATTAAAGGAAAGAGAATTTGTGGGCCCACGAAATGGCTCGGCAGGTAAACGCAACTGTCATGTACACCCCCCTCCCTAAAATCAACCTCTGGACTCCAAGGTGGAATGAGAAACCAACTCCAAATGCTGCCCTCTGAGCTCCACACCCACTCCATGGCATTCGTGCACTCAGGCTCACAGATACTGTGTTTGTAATCACAGATCCTTTAAAAGCAACTGCGATTCCTTGATGAACTGTGGTAAAGCTGAAGGATGCCTAGAGCTACTGTCAACAAATGCTGCTGCATTCAGTGTGTCTTAACTTGTTAGGTTTTAGACTTCCCCCAGCAGGCAGCAACCGAAAGGAATCTTGTTTTATTCTTAGACACCAACCCAAACATCAGAGAGACAACTATGGAGAAAGGTACAAACGTTAAAGAGCTTTTCCAGCTAATCAAGCACTAGGGAGGCAGAAGTGTTTTGAATCAAGGGTGAGGGGGGTGAGGGGAAGGGACGTGGTATGAGTGTGTATGTGTCAGTTGTACAAGAAACGGATTTCTATACAGACTGCAATTCTAAGTCAAGGAAAAAAAATCCACATCAATTTTTTTCTTTGTTGAGATACATACATATATGTGTGTGTGTGTATATATACATATACACACACACACATATAAATAATAGGCTTTTAGAAATTCTGAAAGTTTTTCTTTACGTAACAGTCTGTTATTATACTCAAGTAGGAGAAAGGAAAACTTACCGAGAAAGACTTAGGTAGGAAGCCTGGCGATGAATCTCCTCTGGGTCTATTTCTACAGGATTTATTACAGCCAGCTGATCAATAGACCACCTAAATTTCCCTGGAGTCTTAACAAAATAAATATACATATAAAGTCAAACTAAAACAGTTTATCAAAATGATACCCAATGCTACCTTCAAGACTGTAGGTGGCTATAACATAAACTTATACTTTTGAAGCTTATACTTTTAAATGAGTTCAATTACTCTAGATTAAATGGCAGATGGTAACCAAATCACACCAAGTCAACCTGCTGCACACTCTCTCTTAAAACACCAACATCTTCTGAGTAATTTTAAGAATGGCACAATACTCTAAAAACCAGAGCAACAAAGGTATAGAAATAAGATTAGCACTCATGTGGGAGAAACCATGCCCATGGTTACTTTACCAAAGGCTGAAGACCTTTATTGTCATTGAGAATGAAATCTTAGCTATACAAATAGCTCCAACCGCTTCTGAAATAACTGATCTTCAAAATATTTAATATCATCTAGGGCTTCTCCATATGAACTATTCAGCTGGTCCCAAACCTTACACCTTACTCAAATCTAAAACTGTAACTACGAATATCCCCAGAGGGAGGCGGGCAGGACGTTATTATTTCTGTCTTTGAAGTTTAATTACAATTTAATCGATGCTAGGTGGTGGTGCATGCCTTTAGTTCCAGCCCTCTGGAAACAGAGGCAGGAGGATCTCTGTGAGTTTCAGGCCAGCCTTGTCTAGAGAGCTTGTTCCAGGACAGCCAAGGCCAGATAAGGAAACCCTGTCTGGAAAAACCAAACCAAAACCAACCAAAGCAAACCAAACCCAATTTAATTGAAAGCATTCTTTTTTTTTTTTTTTTAAAGTATAGAATAGAGTGTATTCAGGGCATGGGGAGGGGAGTTAAGAGGGTAGTAGAGGCAGGTAGAGGCAGAGAGAGTGAGAGAGAGAGAGAGAGAGAGAGCGAGAAAGAATGAGAGCAAGAGAGAGAGAGAGAGAGAGAGAGAGAGAGAGAGAGAGAGAGAGAGAGAGAAGAGGCCAGCCATGAGTGCGTGGAGAGGGGGGAAGGGAAGGGGAGAGGGAACAGAAGAGATCAAGAGAGAGCAAGAGAGAAAGAGGAAAGTACTCTTTTATTATTGTGTGCTTTTATCTATGTCCATGTTTGTGTAGATATGTGTGTGTGCATGAGTGCGCGCATGCATGTGCACACTCATGCACATGCATACTAGGATGCTGATGGCCAATCTTGGGTATTATCCCTCTTGGTTTTTGAGACAGGGTCTTCATTGGCATTGATATATCCAATCAGTAATCTAGGCTGGCTGGGCAGGGAGCCCGAAGGGTTGCCCTGTAATTACCTCCCCTGCAGTAGGAGGACTAACAGCCATCATTCCTGGCTTGGTGACATGGGTTCTAGACTCTGACTCATGTCCTTGTGCTACCAACTGAGCTATCTTCCCAGTCTCCATCATTTACTTTTGATTAAGGTCATTTTAATTTAGCCAACTTTAAAATAAGCTAGATTTTATCATAATCAGTTACTATTGTAAGGCCAAATTAACGAAATAGCTATATAAACTGTATCTGGTTCATGCACAACTTTCCCATGTCTGAGCTGACATAACATGCAGAAGAAACAGCCATCTGGTGCCCGAGTTAGGGCTGGCTATGCTGGCACACCATGACCAAAGCAACCTGGGGAGAAAGGGCTTATTTGGCTTATACTTGCACATCACTGTTCACCACTGAAGGAAGTCAGGACAGGAACTCAAACAGGGCAGGAACCTGGAAGCGGGAGCTGAGGCAGCCATGGAGAAGTGCGTGCTGCTTCCTGCTTTGCTCAGCTTACTTTCTTATAGACCCCAGGACTACCAGCCTATGAACAGATCCATCCACAACAGACTGTGGCTTCCTATATTAAGTATTAATTAAGAAAATGTCCAACAGGCTTGGCTGCAACGCAATCTAATGGATGCATCTTCTCAACTGAGTCTGAGACTTGAGCTTAAGTCAAACTGACATAAAAGTAGCCAGCACACCTTGTTTTACACTTTTTCTAGGTAAGTGCGGCTAACAAATCAAAAGAACCTTGCCAGTGTAGCAAAGTCAAAAGAGCTACACTGATGGAGCCTTCCCCTGATTTCCTAAAGAACACACTTCCTATGTTCCATCCTTCTGATAAATATTAATCATAGCATATTCGTCATAATTTCACAATTGCTCATTTTGTTGAGTTTATTCCAATACCACAGGGGTTTGCTCCCTTTTATAATAACCGCAAGCATTATTAGGGCTAAACGCTTTTAAATGGCTGGGCAAAAGAAAACAAAGGTAGCACTATCTTATGGCAGAAAAATAATATGAAATTCCAATTTCAGTATCCATAATTCCTATGAGAACGTGGCATATTTGTCTCCATCTTGCTCTTGGCTGCTAACTTTGGCGTGAGGTGTATATGAGCAGCTCAACTGTGACCGGGTAACTTGCAAAGCCTGTCGTCTGTCGTTTCTGTGTTGGTGTGGGCAGTTCCTGGAAGTCCATCTACATGCAAAGAGTGCTCAGATCATGTTTGCTTAAAGAACCATTAGAAGATTAGGTGCCATCTTCTTCCTGTATTTACACTTAAAATTATTTGTAGTTACTTCCACTTAAAATCACTTGTAAACACTAGGCAAGAAAAAAACTTACTGGTAGTTTTGTGGACTTAAAGACAGAAGGACTAGCAAGGGTTTGTTCATGGAGATTAGAATAATCACTAGGACTTTCAAAGGGATTTAAAACAGGGATCCTTCCTGGAGTTTCTGGTGTTATTTGCATTTTTAATTCGCTGACATCTCCCATAGCCCAGGAAGCAAGCTAAAAAGAAATCAGAAGTATGCATATTAAAATTATTGAGTACCATAGATATTAATCCTGACAAAATACATTAAACATCTCACAAAGAGTTCACTCCAAATCGAAACTCTTGGGGTTGGTTTACAGTTTACAAAGGAACATCAATCCTATACGTTTTCTCAGATGATCCCGAAGCTAACTCTGGGAGCTGGGGAAGGGAAGGCATTGCTGCTATCATTTTTCAGAGGAAGCAACACATGCACGGAAGTTAAGCAGCATATATGAAACAGCCAACCAGTTATGAGTGAGCTCTGGTCCAATCTGATTACACTAAAAACAAGTACCTTTCCAACCAAACGACTTCGAGTTGTCGTTTTCTTTATTCATCATCTCAAGAGTAAACAGTATGAACATCCTTCGAATACCCAAGTAATTCCATACAGAACTGCAATTATTACTACTGGCAAGTTAGTCCTCACTTGAGCAGGGTGACTGACAGGGTGGATCCAGGTGGGGATTTAAACTACTTTTCCTGAAGACCACTCCCCCTCCAGGATCCAAAGGCAGGCTGCATTCCTTCCAAAGAGGATTACAGCCAGAAGGAAAAAAACAAAAGAAGAAAAGAATTTACTTTTGGAAGATCAAAGTTGAGCGGGCTCCCTCTGTAACAGCAGAGACGTCACTTCCAGCGACCATTCAGTTTCCAGGCGCCCCTCTCTCTGCTCCCCTTCACACCTAGGCAAGTGCACAGGCGCGTCTGGAGCCAGGAAACCAGAGCGGTCCAACTCGAGACAGGAGTCCAGGCCTGGGGCCACGGAGGACGTACCTACATTCGTGGGTAACGTGGAAGTTCTAGCATCTCCCGCAGAGGCCACGGCAGGCGCCGACTCTTTAACTCCCTCCGTGCTCTCCGGCCAACCAGGGCGCGGGGCGGGGAGAGACCACCGGCCAATCGCGTCTCGCCGCCGTCCGCGAACCAGCCAATGGCGTCGAGGCGGTGGGGTGAATTCGAACGCTAACTCCTCGCTCTACGTTCCGCGCAAGGGAACGAGGCTCCAAATTCAAATCAACGCGGTCCGGCGTCCGCGCTCTGCGCGAGGGGGCGGGCCCTGGGCGGCGGGGGCGGGGCCTGGGCGGCGTGAGCGCGGCCGCGCGGTGGGATTGCCCGGCCGAGCGGCGGGCGCTCCAGTTCCGGGTCAGGCCTTCTCCCACCGGTTGGGGACTTCTCCTCTCCATGGCGAGCGGTAGCGGCGCGGGCGCGGCGGCCTCGGCCAACCTGAACGCCGTGAGAGAGACCATGGACGGTGAGTGCGTGTCGCGCTCGTTTTACCCGGTCTGCGTTTCCCGGCGCCGAGCCCCCGGGTGGAGGCGTCGTCGAGGGCCCCGCGGTCCCTGCGTCGACCTCAGCGGTGTCCTGCGAGGGGACGGAGAAGGGACCCGCCGCGACCTCGAAGCTGGCGGCCCCAGAGCGCCGGTCTTCCGCTGCGGCGTAGTTGGGCGCGCGCGGGGCGTTCTGTCCTTGCGTCCGCTGCCTGCGCGCCCAGCCTGGGTCCACGCGACCTGCCCGGTGTCTGGCGCGTGCTTGTGACATTGGAGAAGCCTCCTACTGAAGTCCCGGGCGAAAGGGGTCGTGGACCTTCGGTCACCGCTCGGTCCCTGGGCCCTGGCGTTTCAGTAAGGAACTGTTTGTTTCCAGTGTTTGAGCACGTCCTCCCGTCACCATCTCCCACTCCTTAGACCGGGCGACACGGGTGACCGCTGCTGTGGGTGTGTCCGAGCCCGCTGTCGAATGGATAGAGCGCACCCACAGGTACAAAATTAAGTCTCGGAGCTGCCTTCTCTCTGCTATGGTTCTACAGCTTCGTACATCTCGGACCCAACCCTCTGAAAATAACTACTAACCGTAGTTGGTATCAGGCTCTGAACCCAGTGACATCAAATCTAGGCGACCCCCACATCGTTGCCAAGGCAACCGCTATACATTCCCAGAATCCACCTGACTATCTCACCTTTACCTGGGAGAGGCTACATCACTGCCCATATAAAACAGGCAGAGCCCCCTAACCTCGCTCTCTACTTCCATCTTCTTCCTCTCTTCCTTCTCTTCCATCTTCTTCTACTTCTCTCCCCCCCCTGCCCCATCCTTGCCCTATCTTCTGAATAACACCTCTCCCCCCCAACCCCCTTGGAACCCTTTGGTCTGGTGTGGTCTGTTCTAAGCTGCGGACGGACATCTGGGACATCTAACACTGGGGCGTTGGCCGGGAATCGAACCTGGGTTTTGTTGTTTTGTTTTTGTTTGGGGGGGGAGGTTGTAAAAATAAATTTGTAGCTCGAAGGATGTTGTGGGTATTTAAAATAAGACAAGCAGGTAAAGTGTGTATCAAGTGAACAGTTTTGTTTTTTTCTTTTGCATTAGCTATCATCCCGTTTGCAAGCATCTTTCTTTGTCTTTACTCGTTTCCATCTACAAGTGGTGCTATATGTCTGTTTTGGCAGGGGCTTTGATGGTTTCCAGGGTTACCCCCACAGCATCTTTCTTAAAAGATAATCTTATGTAATTGTCACCATACTGCCCCGTGCTTTCTTCACTAAACGCCCACCTTCTTTTTTTTTTTTTTTTTTTCGAGACAGGGTTTCTCTGTGTAGCCCTGGCTGTCCTGGAACTCACTCTGTAGACCAGGCGGGCCTCGAACTCAGAAATCCACCTGCCTCTGCCTCCCAAGTGCTGGGATTAAAGGCATACACCACCACTGCCCGGCAACGCCCACCTTCTTATCTTGCCCTTTCTGATAGAATCTTGGAAGGTCCTGTACTGGTCACTGCTTTCGTTCTAAAGAATGAAACTGTTAGAGGCTTTACATTTGTTGTCCCCGCCTAATTGGTGTTTGCTACATTGGTCCTTTTCTGTCTCCAGCCTGTTTTTTTTTTTCATCGTAGATGTTCCAAGGCTTATTGTTTTATAAAGTAAATTTCTGTACACAAGGGTACCTATGTGAGTTTAGGGTTGTGTTGTGTGAACTTCTCTAGAAGCCTAGAGTGACCTTCTCTGTCTGCCTCTGCGGTGTCCATGGAGTACTGAGTACACCGGAGTGTGTTGTGAGGAGAGTTGGTGGGCCGGCTTTGAGACCTAAGGCTTGGCATCTCTACCTTAGAACCTGCTGTAAAGTAAAAAGGATAGAATATAAAAACCTCCAAAAGTGAAGACCAGAGAAGTTTGTTTGCCTTTGTTTTTAATGAAGGGAGAGTACATGTGAGGTTTTAGTGCATATCAGTCCTTGTATGGGAACCTACAGGACATTTTCAAAGTCTGAGTCCTGTCTCTTCCCTTGATAGCAGTTTTCCTCAAGCTTAGATGTATTTCTCATTAGCATTTTTCTTGTTTCAGATTCCTAACAGTGACTTAAGCTTTTGCTGTCAGTGGTTCACTAGGTTAGTGGGACTCACCAGTAAAGTTTCTTTTCAATTGCGAGAGCAGGTGTGTCATTTGTTTGCACATGCTATGAATCTGATTTTCCCCAGCCATATACACTCAAAACCAAGACAAAGAAGTCTCCATTGATGATAAAGAAGTTTTCCCTATAAGAAAGGCGCAGAAGGGAACCGCAGTGGGTTTTGGAGGATTTTGAGAAAGCATGTTGCTTGTGATGGCAGGTGGAGAAGCATCATCTGTGTGTTGAGCTAAGATGCTTCTATAAACCTTTCTCCAGAGAGCTTGGGGTTGGATTGAGGGGGGGGGGGATCAAAGAACTTGTGAGCAAGAGGAGCTTCCCATCTGAGAAGAGTCTTCATCAAAATGTCACAAAGTACCTTAGGTAGGTGAAAAAAAAGAGAAAGTCATTATAAGTAATAGTTATGAAATATAATGGCAGCAGGATACCTTATGGGCCCATGCCAAGGTGCCCCCTGAGAAGTCACGCCATGCAACAGATCTGGTATAATGGGGGCTTATTTGGGGGGAAAGATAGGAGTAAGGGGTAGTGGACATATAGACAGGCCCACAGATGGAAGCAGAGCCATGAGGGCAGAGAAGGGGGACAGAGGACAGAAAAGGAGAAGGAGATGAAAGAGAGAAAGACAGAGCAAGAAAGACGGAGAACGTAAGGGAACAGAGCAAACTGGGGTGTCGAGAGCAGTCCTGAAGATCAGTAGCATGGTGCAAAGAGTCTTAGTTAGTTACCACGTTTACCACCCAGAGATGCAGGTGGGAGGGGCACAAACACCCACAGTAGTAGAGGAACACAACTTTATGCTCCTACAGGGCTGGAGGACCATGGCATTCTACCAGCCAGGGTGGAAAACAGTTTGTGAACAGTGAGTAGTCAGTGGAAGGATCTTCTCTTAGCAGCTTCAGCTGTTGACTAAGGTGCTTTGATTCTACCCAACTGATTTGAAGAGTTAGACCTGAAAGAATCAGTTCTTTACCAACAAAGTAAAATTTACAATATCTGGCTTATACTCACTGGGTATATAAAACAGGAAAATATGAGTTATGATGAGAAAAATTCAAACCATTAACATAAAAAAAAACCACAGGCATTACTGTATTCCATAATCAAAAACTTCTAATACTGACATGGAAAATATATTTTTAAGACTCACATTGAACTTTGAGACATGAAAAGTAGGAAAAGTTGGATGTTCACCCAAATTCTACAGTTTTCAGTACTTAGAGTTAAATTAGTGAGTGACTAAATAATTGCTAACTTGTCTGTTTATCCCAAAATAATCCATGCTTTTCTGCAACCAAAGCAGGAATCTCAATAAATTTGTTTTGGAAATTCATGAAAATGCCTGACTTCACCTTGAGAATAAAAAGGCTTATATACATGAAAATGGCAAAAGAATATTTAACCTACTCTGTACAGTATTAAATTTATAATTAATGACACAGATATGACACAAATATGCTATATAGATCTCAGAACACATATAGTAAAGGTAGCAATTGCTGATTAGTGATAAAAGGGTATATCATCCACTAATTTATATTGTAACTGACTTATTTCTGACAAAAAGGTCTTTTCTTCTACTTATACTTCAGGAATTGAGTATTTAAATGTTTATGGAAGGAAGAAATCAAATCTCAGGTGCTGGATGAGAATAATGATAAATTCACTGTGAATGAGAAATAATGTCCAAAGTATAATGCAAGGGAAAGTATATACAGATAGTCTGTTATCATTTGGCATGAGTTCTAAGCACATTGTTGGAAACAGCCATCATTTAACAAAGTTAATGTAACTGTTGTGTGTATGTCCTGTAAGGAAAGGGATTCCTGGAAAAGCACTTGGTTCTGCTGCTACTCTTTATGTCAAAGACAGATATTTTAATGAATTACTAAGAAATGCAGTGCTAGGGTCACATGTGGTGCTCATACATACCTATAGGCAAAACACTCACGTACATAAATATAAAAAGTTTAAAAGTGAAGTTAAATTATACACGCTTTTATTAATAAAGCCAACAGATACAGTTATGTCAAATTATTATGAAAGATTCTAAAGCTTTAAATGTCTGTTTGCCGAGTATTTCTTTTAGAATTTGTTTTGAAATAAAATTTAGTATATACAGATGTATCACAGTTACCACAATATTATGTCAGTAGGGGAAGTGTTAAGAGCAGCTTAACTGTTAATGCAGTGCAGAAATTAGGAAGTTGGCATGTCCATGGAAAGACATGTTATGCGGCTAATTTTTAAGTTTTTAAGATTGAGTCACTAGGCTGGCAAGATGGTTTATAAGGTAAAGGTGCCATGCCAGCAACTCGGACGACCTAAATTTGTTCCCCAGGACCTACATGGAGCAAGGAGTGAACTATAAGTAGTTCTCAAACCTCTGCTTGTACACTGTAGCCTGTGGGAACCCACACATATACACACATGCATCAGTCAGTTAATAAATGTTAAAAAAAAAAAAAAGGCTCAGAAACACATGCTGGTTTCTGACTTCTAAGGTGCTGACTCCTTAATAGAGCAGTGCTTTGCTCAGCCATCATCAGAGAAGCTTCGTCTTGCGGGAGGTGAGAAAAACTACAGAGACCCGAAGCTATACATTATGCAGAGTTACAGACCTTGGAAGACTCAGACCCAAAGGGGTATCTCCATCAAATCCTTCTTAGAACCCTTAGAGGACTGCTGAAGAGGACACCAATGAAACAAGGGCCTCTAAATCAAAATGAACAAAAGTTATATGAACTCACAGAGATTGAAGCATCCTGCACAGGGCCTGCATGGATCTGTCTCTGGCCTGTGTGTATTCTGGCTTCCAGTTTAGTGGGTTTTAAGTGGGATTTCTGAGTATCCAAATGAGTGGGTCTCTGACTCCTTATGCCTCTGACTTCTGTTTGTTTGTTTGTTTGTTTGAAGCCTGTTTGTTTTCTAGTGCTTATGGAGAAGGAGTGAGATACAGAAGGAGAGGAGAAACTAGAAGGAGTAGAGGGAAGGGAAACAGGAATCAGTATATACTATGTGAAAAAATAATCTAGTAAAAGATTTTTTTTAAGTATGAATGAAAAGACTTCAATTTCAAATTATAGATATCATGTCAAAGTGTTTTCCACAAATTCTTTAACTTTTTAACTCTTCATATTATAATTTGATTACTATATTTCTCTCTTCCTTTCTTCCTTCCATACCCTTCTATAGACATGTACCCTCTCTTCTCTCCTTCAAATTCACGGTCCCCAGTTTTTTACTAATTGTTATTGCATGCATATGTATATACATAAATATGCCTAAAATAAAATGTGTCCAGTCCCTTAAAAAAAAAAAAAGAACAGAAGTGCCACGTGTATTTTTTATTTGTAGGTGTTTATGCTGTTTAAACATTGTGTCTGTATCTTTTTCAGTTCTTCTTGAGATTTCAAGAATTTTGAATACCGGTTTAGATATGGAAACACTGTCTATTTGTGTTCGACTTTGTGAACAAGGAATCAACCCGGAAGCCTTATCATCTGTTATTAAAGAGCTTCGCAAGGGTTCTGACGCACTAAAGGTTAGATTTGCATGTCAGTTTGTTATGAATAAGAATACTGGATCGAGACGTAACGGACAAGCTATGTGAAAGATCTCAGCTAAACCACCTTGTGCTAACTTCTGATGCTGTCAGGAGAAAGTCTCAAAACCAGAGGCTAAATGTTCAGACCACAAAAATTATTGATAAACCATTATATTTTTTCTTAGAAATTTTTCACTGTTTTTAGAATTTTTCTGTGTTGACTAGAATTGTGCCTCCTGCCAAATGTTAAGTTCAAGTTCTAATCCCTGGTACCAATGAATCTAAGCATATTTGAAAATAGAATCTATGTATTCATCACAGATTAAAATGAGCTCATATTGAATTAGGGTGGCTTCTAATCCAGCAATTGGTGTCATAATTAGATAAGGGAAATTTGAATACAGATAAACAGAACACCTCTTGAAGTCAACAGGAGAGAAGCCTGTTAGTGGTGAGGTATCTCATTAGCCATGAATATTGAAATTTCAAGTGACTACAGTTAAACTTGTCTAACAGCAAAGTGGCTTCCCTTATCTTCCAAGAAAATGGTACTATATTGTCACTGGTAATATTTAATAAATGGGACTGTGCAGGCCGACCATCTAAGCGGCAGCAGCTCTGCCTAGCTCAAGCCGGCTAGAAATGGCCAGTCATAAACACTGGCCCTGGCACCAATGAGATGCCAGTGTAGGAGATGGCTCTGCCAGTCTACCACACTGTCTCCACAAGGCTGGGCTGAGCCCAGACCATCCCGCCATCCACACAATACCCGGTAGAAATGAGACTCTAATGTTTAAAGTTTATCCAATAGTTTTATATATTTGGTAGTGCTCAAATAAAAAAGAAGCCCACACAATTAGAGGTATTCCAACTACCTTAGACTGCTGGAGATACGCGTACATCCACCACCATTTTCCCCTCTCTCATCTTCCTTTTTCCTAGCTCCTCCTCACTCCTCCCATATTAGCTCCTCCCAAAATACCGAGTTTAATATAGCGGGGGAAATATACTGCTACATTATATGAAATATGTAAGTTAATTGTTTTTCACATTGTTGTTTTTCAAACAACTCAAGAGCTTTTTATTTTCTTTTTAATCTCTGATTTTTAAAACTAGTACATAATGGTAAACATGGGGCTGGAGAGATGGCTCAGGGATTAAGAGCACTAGCCACTCTTCCAGAGGACCTGAGTTCAATTCCCAGCAACCACATGGTGGCTCACAACCATCTGTAATGGGATCCGATAACCCTCTTCTGGTGTGTCTGAAGATAGCTACAGTGTGGTCATATAAATAAAATAAATAAACTAAAAAAAAAGGTAGACAAAATATACTTACAGAGTAAATATTGATTTAAAAATACAGAAAGAGCTGAGAAGACGGTTCAGTGAAGTCTTTTGCAATGCAAACATGATTTTGATCCCCAGGATCCAATCTAGGTTCAGAAATATGTTTCCTAGACCTACGGGGGCGTGGGAGGGTGGGTAGAGATAGGATTCCTGGGGCTTGCTGGGCAGTTAGTGTAGACCAATCATCAGTCTCACTAACTGAACTAGACGTCTAAAACTACTTTAACTTTTAAAAAGTTTATGCTTTATTTAAGTGCAATCTTACACTATTTCCACTGGGTTCTTTCCTGTTATGTCTATGGTGTTCATTTATGTTGAATGCCACTGTAATGTGTTCCTTCATGCAAATAAATTTCCTTCCACAAATATACAGCAATTCTGTGTTGAGTACATGCTGAGTTGTGCTACTGTGAGCCTTATTTAGCATTATTGTAGTTCATATCTCTTCATGCTCTTATATGTGCAGTTGTTCTAGGTGTGTACCTAGGCATAAAATGGTTATGTGTTATCAACTTAATAGATCATTAAAGTGCTGAGCTTTCCCAAAGCAGTGGTCTTGATGTGTATTTCACCAGCGGCACATGATTTGCCTTTGCTTCATGTTCATCAGTGATCATTATCGGGAGCCTTAATTTCAGCCATTTCTCATTAAGGAGGATGTTTGGGACCTCTTTTCTTAAATTGCACTTCTGAGTACCCTAAAAGTGAGTGCATTTCATATGGGTTTGCCCAGCCTTTTTAAAAATTTACTTGCCTTCTTTGTCATCTTTTTAAAAACTCAGTTTATAGATGAAAAAGAACTGCGTAGTAAGTAGGTAGTAGTACTAGAGAGACCACAGGCTCAGGCTGTGCTGCCATTCCTTCCTCCAGTCAGACAGTAGCAGTCATGTGCTGCTTAGGACACTGAGGCTGAATATAATGTAGTCAAGCTACTGATAGTTAAGTGGTAGACTGGCGTTTTAATTTGCATTGTCTGACAAAGAATGCGTGAGCCAGCTTTTTAAATGTTTTCTTTTTTGAGACAGAATTTTAATATGTATCCCTAGCTGGCCTCAAACTGATGGAGATCAGCCTGCCTCTGTCTCTAGAGTGCCACCAGACCTGGTGTTTTAGGGTTTTACAGACACCATGACCAAGGCAAGTCTTATAAAAGACAACATATATTTGGGGCTGGCTTACAGGTTCAGAGGTTAAGTCTATTATCATCAAGGGAGGAGCATGGCAGAGTCCAGGCAGGCATGGTGCAGGAGGAGCTGAGAGTTCTATATCTTCATCTGAAGGCTGCTAAAGGAAGACTGACTTCCAGACAGCTAGGGTGAGAGTCTTAAAGCCCATGCCATAGTGACACACCTACTCCAACAAGGCCATACCTCCAAACAGTGCCACTCCCTGGGCCAAGCATTTTCAAACCATGACACCTGGCAACAATTTTCAAACTCTATTCTTACTCTTGTGTGGTAAGTCTGGAGGAGAAAGAAACTAATTCAGACTGGTTGTGAGGTGATGATTCTAAGGAAAGCAAGGTCAGTTTTGTTTGCCTGTAAAGGAAAAGTTTAGGTTTCTTATATGCATTATTTATAATTTTCCCAATATTTTATTGTATTTTCTTGAAATAGCTAAAAATAAATTTTTAACTAGGAAATAGAAATAGAAGTACATTAAAAATCCAGCATGTTGTTGGGCAGTGGTGGCACACGCCTTTAATCCTAGCACTTGAGAGGCAGAGGCAGGCAGATTTCTGATTTCGAGACCAGCCTGGACTACAGAGTGAGTTCCAGGACAGCCAGAGATACACAGAGAAACCCTGTCTCGAAAAACAAAAAACAAACAAACAAACAAAAATCCAGCATGTTTTTCTAAGATTAAATAGATTATTTTCATATTGGCATTAAGAAATTGTATTAAGTCTTTGTTTTGTTCCTGATTTTTTGGCACAGGATTTCTTCCCTATGGAGTTCAAGGTTAGCTCCAGCTCTTCCGGGCTTAGCCTCCCAAGTGCTGGGCTTACTGGCAGATAGATGCTTATTCTTTCAAGTTGTCCTAGAATACATATCAGATCAGTTTTTTAGTGAATCAGACACACCTGGGAGGTGAGGTCACCCAATTTGGGAAAGAAACCCACACTGCATATCTCACACATGCAAATCCTAGCCTGTAACACGTACATGTGTAAACAGCTGTAAGGGATACTGTATACCATTTGGAAAGGAGACCAAGAACGGGTGATCCTGGGTGATGCGGAAGAGCAGAATGCCAGCAGAAGGACATGAGTCATGAAGATTCAGAGCTCACTGATCTTCTAGCTTTCACTGTCGTGCTGCCCCCACCTCAGTGTGCGTCTGCATAAGTACATAACAGTGTGATTGGTAGTGAAGTATAAAACACTAAATGAACTTCCATGGCTTCAGAAAGGATGTTCTCACTGTATCAGTGAAATATATGGAGTTTGGGACTGGGAGTACAAGTGTGATGTCTCTATTTCTGAGTTTATTATAATAAAATTATTTTTATTTTCAAGTAAAATACCATAAATACCTTTTAGCAAAAAATAAAAAAAGAAAAAAATTACAAATATGTTCACTGTTTCTCTATTGCTGGTATCCTTTATTTGTAGCTTAATAGATCTTTCTCATTTTTACTTCTGTCTTTGCACTACAATAAAACAAACTAATGAAGACCTTGGAAAACAAGTTCTGTGTTAACTCTTAAAGAAGCAGTACATTTTACATGATCTCTATTGTATAAAAGAATTTTTCTGTTTGTAATCTAGCAGTAAATTTAAAACATCTTAATAATAGAACCAAAATTAAAAATCATTGTATTTGTGTTGTTGAATAGATAGCTGTTTGTTAGATATGGTATAGTATTGATAGATTTACCTCCTTGGTTGTCTTAACCATGGTTTTTTAAATAATGGATCTTGCTCTCTTGTTCTAGGCTGCTGAGAACACAAGCTGACTTCAGAGAATTCCTGATGAGATATGTCAAGCTTGACAAGAAAATGTGAAAATTCCATCGTAGTCAAGATATAAAACAACAATGCAGCATGCTGCATAGAAAATGTTTTCTTTTAAAAAGAATTATAAAACTGCAGCTGAGCGAGTCAGTGGGAAATGGCTTGAGAGGGAACTATCGAGTGTGTTTACATCCCGTCTTGTTGCTAATGGTCCCAACTCCATGCTGTGGCTGCTCTTACTTATGTAGTCCTTATGTATATCTCCGCTAGCTGTGAGTTTCTAGACAGCATCTGGCAGGTATGAACAGCTGTTGGGCCTGCTTGAAGTTAGTGGGTCATATCAGAGTTGATCCATAGTAGTTATGACTTTTGACTTTTCCATTATAATAAACCTTAATTTTGAATTGTTTAAACATAAAAACTGGCTGTGTGTTCCATTGAGCTCCACGTTGATGAGATCTGAGCTACCATTTGTGAATTTTGCTTTTCTTGTTTCACATCTCATTTTCAAAAATAGGATCAAAGACATGGCCTTTAATCATCTCCTTAACAGAATATTTAGTTTTTTACACAGTTTTTGGAAGCTAAAGGTGATTTAGTGGCGTAGCCCATGCACATTTTCCCCCATGCAGTCAGACCTGTTTTCCCAGTCTCCAATTTTATAGAATCCTTTTCAGAAACACAAAATGAATTTAAATATAAGCATATGCTGTGCTTGTACAGTGAAGACCAAGACACCAAACTAATAAAAATGAGAGATTAATATGTAGCTGAATTTTAGTGTCGAGGCTCGAATAGCTAATTAGAGAAAGGGGCCCATGGGGACGAGAATGTGTTGAGAGAAAAAATAAAGATTATGAATAAATTTTAAGTCTCTTTTCCACATAAAAAGAGCCCATTGTTCTCAGTTGCCTCTGATGGACCCAACGGGAATATCAGTGATCTTTGTTCTTGTTGAACACGGAGAACCATCATGTAAAAGGAGCAAACAGCTGCTAAATGAAAGCTTCTTTGGAAGTCTAGTGCTAGGATGTTGTGCGAGGAAGGGTGGCCAGGGAGAGCGCCCTATAAAGTTTCATTTAAGCACTTGGATAAACATCATCTCTGCTGTCATCTGCTTTACCTAATAGAAATGGGAAGAGTTTTGCCAATCAAGACAAAGTTAAGAAAGCAAGAAGAGGTAGGAAAGGAGAGACTTTAGACTTTGGCTTACACCCAAAAGTGCTTTAATGTCCCAGGTGGCTCAAGGCTGGGGTTCTTTTACACTGAACTTCTTGCACTAGGCCCTCAGGGCCACCTCTTAGGAAAAACTGCTGTGGACCTAGCCACGCAAGGCAGCAACCATTAGCGTGACTTCAGAAAAAAAAAATTGATGTGATACCATGACCTGTCAGTTTGATCAGTTAGGAAAGCTTTGAGAGTATGTGTGTGGTTTTTTTTAGCAGTTAACATGGACACCTGCATAGCCCAAGGAGGGGGAGAGTATGTGGCCAATGGTGCTGTCTCATCTGGGATTTCTCAAGTTCCGTCTCCTCTCTCAGTTTTTGTGTCAAGCTTTTCTGTTTCACATATGCGGCTCACAGCCAACAGTCCATACTAGGATGTTTCCCATCAGATACTTCTCACTAGGGAAAGGGCATCCGATTCCCCTGAACTCAACTCAGCTGGACCCAGCACTCTCCTGAGCCATCCAGGCTACAATCAGCCTGGCTCATGATCCGAGAATAATACAAACTAGAAAGAGCTCTATTCTCATCTTCATACAAACTAGATAGCTGGTCTTCCCACTTCAGATGCAATCCTGTTGCCTTCTGTTTAGCCCACTTCATGCAGCTCTTGTACAACTCCTCACAGGCTAGCCAGGTAAGTAGATTCTAGACAGATGTCCTATACAGGAAACAAGGCAGGTGGGAACAGAGTGCTTTTACTGTCTACATCCAGGAAAGCACCTGGAGTGGTCTTTTCTTGCATTATTCTAATGCATCTAATTTACTAGAGTAGTTTAATTACCAAGTCCTATCGCCAGAACAGGGATGATTTTTATAATTATGGCACTCAGAAAGATTACTCACATATTTCTATAAGATCTGAAGCATATATGTAAGCTGTAATAAAGCAAACGTGATTGTATATAGTTTTCATCGACTAAAGTAAAAAAAAATGAGCTGGGCATGGAGTCCATCTGTAATCCCAGTATTTGGAAGGTGGAGACAGGAGGATCAGAAGCTCAGGGTTATCTTTGGCTACATACCAGGTAGGGTTCATGAGACTGCTCCAATCATATTTAGATCAATGGGAACACTGACTTCTGAAAAATCAATCATTGTTCCTTAAAGGTGGCCTGCCCTCAAGGGAATTTTTGTTTTTGATCCTTAAAGTTGTAGCAGATATCATATACATAATGTGTATTAATGTTTAATAATATCCAGTGTATGGTTAGCAATACCGAGGTAATAATGTTCCCATACATTGTTCCTGTTGCTGTTATTGATAGTATGTTTTCAATCTAATCTAGACAAACACAGCTGATGTTGCTGTTTTTATTTTAGATTTTTGCCTCTATGTTAATTTAACTCTTTAGCTTTCGAATCACATGGGCTTGGGAAACTTTGAAGATGTACCTCCTGAAAGGTTTACATGGTGCACACAAGATAATTTTATCGTCTTTCCATTAAGTAGTTATACGCTTCAAGAGGGCAAGACTGGTGTTGAGTGACTACCACATGGTAAACGCTGTGTGTGTGTATATGTGTATTGAACACTTTTCTTCCGTCTTCTTTATATCAGGACATACCATAAGTCACAGTCTGTATGTTCAGGAGGAAATGAAATAAGCAACACGTTAGCACTTGCTACAAGGCACCAGGGTGAATGCCAACATCCATTCTTTGGCAGTTTTAGTAGCATGGGTTTTATATCCTGTGAAATATTAATAAAACTTTACAAATAAACTAAGACTCACGCATCATGGAATAAATACACAAGTTCTTTTTTAGAATATCACTTGTTAGAAAAGATACCACACTCAGCTTGTGAGGTGGACCACTGACTATCATTGCTGGACCTCTTTGAGGAACATAGCTGATGGGATCTGTTTTGGGGAAGTCATTTTAATGTGTGTGCAGCAAATAGCTATGAAACAGTCTCCCACCAATGCACTGGGCAAGACTGAGCTGACTATTAAAGGATATTGTCTCCTTCGTGACAAAAGTGGACAAGTTTTCTATCAGCTTCTGGTTTAGGGTTTCTATTGCTGCAATGAAACACCATAAGCAAAAAGCAAGTTGAGGAAGAACGGACTTATTTGGCTTACACTTCCACAGCATTGTTCATCATGGAAGGAAGTCAGGACTGAAATGCAAATGGGTCAGGAACCTGGAGGCAGGAGCTGAGGCCATGGAGGAGTGCTGCTTACTGACTTGCTGCCCATGGCTTACTCAGCCTGCTTTCTTAGGGAACACAGGACCACTATCCCAAGATTGGTACCACCCGCAATGGGCTGGGCCAATCAATCACTAATTAAGAAAATGTCCTGCAGGTTTGCCTACAGCTCAATCTTATGAAAATATTTTCTTAATCAAAATTCCCTTCTCTCAGATGACTCTAGCTTGTATCAAGTTAACATAAAACTACCGAGCACAATTGATCCTTTGTGAACTTGGCACACAAACACATCACCATTAAATCACAACCTTGTTTCTCATTCATCCCCCAAGACTGCACATTAAAAATACAAATAGCTTTAAAAGTCCCACAGTCTTCACAAATTTAAACACATTAAAATTTCAGTCCCAGTGTCTAAGTATCCATGTCTTAAAAAAAAACAATCTCTTTTAAATGTTCAAAATATCTCAACTGTGTGCTCCCTAAAAATCAAAATTAATTTATTTCAAGAGGGAAGAATCTGCACAGTCATAACCATCCTAAAGCAAAACCAAAAGTGTAAATAATGCAGTATTCAGTTTCTGGGATCCACTCATGATCTGGGCTCCTTCAAAGGGCTTGGGTCACTTCTCCAGCTCTGCTCTCTGCAGCACACAAGTTTGTCATCTATGTTTTGGCAGGCTCCACCACTACTGTCATTCTTGGTGGTCATCTCATGGTACTGAAATCTCCAAAATGCTGGTGTCTTCTGCTGCAACTGGGCTGCACTTTCACCAATAGCCTCTTCCAGGTTATCTTCATGGTGCCAAACTTGATCTCTCTTCATGACCGGTTTAGTCCTGGGCCTTAAACTCTGAAGCTGTACCTTCACCAATAACCTCCTGGGTGGCTCTCACCCTACCAAGTTCTGCTAACAGGACAAGGTACAACCTTGGTCATCTCTGGAACACAGCTTCTGTGTGCTGACTCTCAAGAAACACTTCCCTGATTTCACCTCAACGATGCTGGTCTCTTTAATCATCAGTTTCTCAGCTCCAACTAACCAGCATCAGTTGTCCCAGTAAAGCAAATGGTGCTGGTCTTGTGTTAATCATGGCTAATTCTTCAGCCACAGCTAACTAGAACAACAGAATTTTAATTCAAAAGTAACAAATGGTCTTTATAGTTCCCTCTAAAACTTCACAAGCCAGGTTCCATCGACTGCATTGCCCTCAACACAATTATCTTCCAAGCTTCTACAAAACAACTTGCTAATCTCTTAACCCTCAATGGCTTTTCTAGCCCCAAGTGCCGAAGTTCTTCCACAATTCTCTTAAAAGAAACATAGTGTCAGGTCTGTCACAGCAACACCCCACTGCTGGTACCATCTTGTCTTAGTTAAGGTTTCTACTGTCATGATGAAGCAAGACCAAAAAGCAAGTTGAGAGTAAAGGGTTTGGCTTACACCTCTACTGAACTGTACACCGTGAAAGGAAGTTAGGACTTAAACAGGGCAGGAATCTTGAGGCAGGAGGTGATACAGAGGCCATGGAGCGGTGCTACTTACTGTCTTATTCCCCATGGCTTACTCAGCCTGCTTTCTTAGAGAACAGAGGATCACCAACCCAGGAATGGCACTACCCACAATGGGCCCAGCCCTCCTATCAATCACCAACGTCCTGCGAGGCTCGCCTGCAGCCTGATCTTAGAGGCACTTTCTTAATTGTGGTTCCCTCCTCCCAGATGACTTTAGCTTGTGTCAAATGGATGTAATGCTATTCAGCACAGCCTCCATTGGAGAATTGGGGTTTCCCTAGCTAGGGAGTTCTGAGCTCTTACATTACTTGTAACAAATGCAAAAATCTCAGGCTGATTTTCACCATTAATATTGGACTGGAAGATGAAAGGAAGAATGTAGCCAAGGAGCTCATGAGGTTGGCTGGGCTGTAATGACATGGTTTGTCTCTGATGCGGGAGTCTCAGTTTCCATCAGTCTCTATGAAGATGTATCTGGTTGATGTCTCAGCTCCCAAGGAAGGGAAACCTTAGACTGTTTAC